CCACTGAGGGGTATTTCCCCGCCGCCTATCGACCGCCCAGCACCAGCCCCTTGCCTAACGTGCTGCTTCTGGGTATCGCTGTAGAGTGCCGTGAGAGTCATTTTAAAATGTTTTCATTATACTGAAAAAGGAAATTGAGCAGCTAATCACCCAATAGGACCAAACAATGGTGGCAGCGAGTATCTGACCCTGGTTCTGAGCGATCGTTTCCTTTACTACATCCTTGAAGTTCGTGGGACGTCATGGTTCAGATGAATATCGGAAGACGTCAGAGTGGTTGCAACAATTGATCACAAGGGGTTCCATTGTGGACGACATGGCCTATCTGAACCTGTTGCCGTAAGTAAAGGGGGAAAGTAGAGCCAACAGATGAGTAAGCATACCCTCGATCCCCGATCGGATCGCTCATGGAAGGATAGGCGACTGCATATTGCTGAGCAGTCGGGACGGCGACCTGAACTAAGTTCGTTATTCATTGACAACTTAATCTTCCGATTTCCTCCATCCTCTTCTCTTCTAGGTAGTGAATCGACTGCACACGTGCAAAGCCGTTATTCCTAATATTCTGAGCCCTCCGTTCGACGTTTTTAGTTTGAATTACTTTCCCATTAAGTTCAATGCAAGCCTAAGGACTGATCTGCTCTCAACACTGCAGTTCTGCTTTGCCAAAAAGAAAACAAGGAAACCTCTACGATATTCCAAGCAATCAATTTGTTGTCAATCAAAGCGCAATCAAAGTCTTCAAAATGTTTACGAATTTTAGTTTTCACACAACTTTTCCCCCAGGACAACTTTCCAGGATCATTATAGAACCTATCAAAGGTGAAAGTTCAACACCCGCAAGATTCTGACACAAACGAGAGTTCAAAAAAGTCTTTGACAGAAAGAATTAGATTACTTACCAGGATTCCTGGCGGCTAATCCGTTTGATGGTCCCGTCAGCTAACGTCCGTCATTTTCTTCCGCTTCTTCTTGATAGCGTTGTCCCACTCAGTCGCAGGGCCCGTTGTTCATGCAGGTTGCAGCCACTTTTTCCATACACGTTCAGACGTCCCATATCCATTCCCTTCGGTGGTCTTTGGACAATAGAATTCTCCTTCTTCTCCTTCTATACGTATGTGTTGTCGGTCCAAGCTGACCCTTCCCTTCCTGTAGTCTCCAATGTCTCCTTGGGTCTGTAGACGGAGGAACTCGCAAACGGGTTACACAGCTACTTGAATATGTCGAAGAGCCATCTAGCGAAAGAACGGGCCTGTTCAGATGTAGACGGTGTCGACCTGAATTGAGTGCAATGAAAAAGTTTTCATTATAGAGTGAGCGAGTCATGGCATACTTCTGATCCCTGCTCGGATCGCCTCACGACAGATCCGCCGAAAAAGGTCTGCCGAAAGAAGTAGACTTGTCTCCGTAGTGCAATCATGTTTCCTGAAGACGAAAGGTTTGAAAAGGGTTCTCCTTCTTGCCCAATGTACTGGTTCCTGGCACCACATGTGGAAAGACTGCTGTCAGGACTACTCAGTCTGATCCATGAGGAAAACATTCCTACCCAAAATGATCGAAACCATCGCTCACTTGGCACAAATTACAGTGCCACCCAGGTTTGCGATCCAGTTCTTCTTCCTCGTCCTTCCCACACCTCCAACGATCCGGTGCGTACGAGTGTGTGCCGTTGCAGAGTTCGTTGGGTTGGGTGATTGTGAACCAGTTGTCTATTGATAGTGATTGCTATTCCATCAATTGTACTCTGACCCGTTTCAGACAGAAGATCGCAATCACTTCTGCAAATTTGTAAAAAAGCCAAAGAAACTGAGGTGAGCGCACTGCAAACAGATGGTCAAACTTGGCGAACTTCAACACATTCTCATTGATGGTTCACCCCTCCCGTACGTACCCAATGGAGGGCTGTGGGGCTCGCTATATCCCCCATCATTTGCAGTGCGCCCAGAATATAAGCCAAATTTCCACGAAATAGAACCGATGCCGCTCCCACACTTTCACATGGTCGATCGTCTTCAACTATGTATCCTCGAATTATCTAACAAAACTATCAAGAATCTTAGCTGGATTTTTGAAGAAATAAAGTTTATTGCAAGTCAATGTATACAACTGAAACGGCGAAGAAACTTACCTTACTGATTTGGAGAAGATAGATCGATGTTGCAGCTCCAAATAGCCGTACCTGTACAAATTCGCATGCCAAACACACTTTCATCAGGATGAAATTTATCGGGCGAGTAAACCTCATAAAAACGAAATGACTAATTTCCTTATCCCGCCATCACTGAAGAGAGAAGACCTCTAGTGGGAGAGTAATCCCTACTACGTGCAGCACCTCGGCCTTGAAAACACAGGCCAAAACGATTACATGAATAGACACAGAAAGACCTCGACGAAAAACCAAAGTTCTTCATTTGGAAAAAAATAATGTCCGTAAAATCTACTATATTTTGAACTTTCAAATTGTGGATGTCTCTGTAATTAAAGATCTTGGTTTCACAGTCACCCGCGAGCTATGATTTGATGCTCACTGTATTAGTATTGTTGCTAAAGCTGATTCTCGGCTTTTCTTCTGCTCCATGCACTTTTTAGTAAGGACCCAACCGTCTCAAAGCCTCAAAATGAATGTATGTGCGACCTATACTTGAATATGGGACTGTCATTTTTTCTTCGTCAAGAAGAAAATTATCCAGCCCTTCGTAAAGGTTCAAAACAGTTTCACTAGAAAATTCTTATAAGAGCACTTGGCTACACTTACAATAACATCCCTCGTTCTATTGTAAGTAACAAAATGTTGAATCTAGACCCACTTAGTAAAAAGAGACTGATAAACGATTCAAAGACGGTGCATGAAATTATTCTGGACACAATCTCATTCGATGCTTCCAAGTTGTTTACTTTAGACCCTCAGAAGCTAGAGGTGACTATAAATTATACACAGAGCTGGCTCAGAGTATATTAAGTTGAGCAAAAAGACTAGTTGCTCACTTATTTTTTCCAAGGTGAGGCGAGAAATTTCTCAGTTCCTCAGGAAACACAGCTAGTTGTCACCTTAGTCTTTATTGTTGTATTTACCACTAAAATCTGTGTTACTGGTATTCTCTACTTATGTCTGTTTCCATATATGTTTATATATCTACTTGAGTTCCATTAGATGTTCATTAATGGTGTTATAGACTATTCATTTTGATGCGTTTTTTTTTGTTGTCTTTTTTCTTCACATGATCCGTAAGGACATCTGATAAATTTAAAATCCGACGAGACCGACCTACAGTCGTAGGCCGTCGGCTGATTTGCGGCCAGCCGCAGCCTAGATACTTCCGACGCCTGCCATTCACTGACTGCTCTCGATCACCAATCACAAGCGCTAAACGTCCGCAGTCCCCTTGGATGAAACTGCACACTACACAACAGTTTGGTCAGCCAAATTCATTTCATACTCTTCCCAATATCAAGTAGTAGCTCTGCCCTATTACATGGGCGCACCGGATCAGCTCAGGGCAATGAGTCGTATCGAAGAGAAACGGAAAAGCATTCATGTGATGCAGAGAAGGACCTGTGCATGGTGCCTGTGCTAGGCCAGGACACTGAACAAAATGAACATACGCCTACTGAATCAATCGGAAGCAGTCAAACACGTGAATGTAACGGAACAATACAAGTGTGAGTGTGTTACTGACAAGCACCCAGCCAGTCTGAGATGAAATCCAGTGGGCACGCCGACTATGGACCGCGTGACATCGATGTTGGTCGCCATTGAACGGAACCATTTCAACTGGTGGACCCCGCACCGTACTGAAACCGTTCGTGAAGAAATTATTGTTGTCGCCAATGCCAACAATAACCCCAGAATCGCGGCCGATATGGGAGCGGCGTCTAGTCGATAATCGGTACCCTGACAAGTCATCGAGATTCTCATATTATCGTCTACATGATCACCACACATGATTTGACAGCGTCTGTTTCGAGGAACGATGCCGCCAATGAATGCTAATCACCTTCGCCCCAGAATTCATGCTGATAGAAGTGAATGTCGAAGCTAGACACGATAATAATAGTTGGCACAAATGCCCTTTCCTATATGAGGCTGCACCGCATAAACCTACTAGACAGTAACAATGAAGTAAAATGAGCAGCACTCCTCTAATCCGTACATTCGGAGGTGTTTATTCGGCTGCCTACGCAGTCGGCTAACGTTGGCAGGATCAGCATTATCAGACCCATAATAACACGACACTGGGCTAACGCCTTCAACTCTGATAGCATCTTAGCACTGCTTGTTTCGGAAAGCCGAGCTCCTTTCAATTAATTCAGTTGCATCCTCAATCGCTCTCCGACCTGTGCCATACTCGGGCAATATTCTATCGATGTTACGCGTGGCAAGAATGACAACGACCTGCGGCCAACGACGTCGTTCTCGACGTCGTCGACGATGCGACCGACCGACCGACCGACACTGAAGGCCAGATGCGTCACTTAGCTGCAGCTAGTCAGAACGTGTTTTCCACCGAACTTTACTGCACTTCGCACACGCCTCAAACTTGGGTAAATTAAACATAAATAATTATTGTCATTGAATGATAATTACTTATTTGATTTGCTGAAAAACCCAGAACCCCTCCTCTCACTCCCCTTCGACAACAACGTGCGCTAATCGAACAGTTAAAACTGTGAGAGCGGCTTAAAAATTTTGCTAAGCGGGGCTCAGCCAAAAGTCCTGGTTTTGAATGGTCCATTCGGGTTGCCTTGCCCATCGGTTAGTGATTCGTGCCTGGTCCAGCGCTTCCTAAAGCAGTATCGTCGATATTGTGATAAGACCGCTTGATGCTGTTCTACCTACTTTTTTCTCTGAAAAAAATACAAGTTTCCATCTAATTCATTACAGTTGACCGTCGGCCGTTCCAAATGTTCGGGATTGTACCAGAATGAGGGTATTCGATCTGAAAGAACCTACATTAAGTTATTGTCTTCTAAAAGCCACAAGTTAATGTCATTGGAAGAGAAGTGGAAGGAGGATATGGGTCTAAACGAACCGTTTCTCATCTTATCGAACGACATCATGACTACCGGTCGGAGCAAGGGGAAAAAATAGCCTGTAATGCAAGAAGTCTGAAAGGGACGAAGGCAACTCATTAAACAATTGTAGCAAATCTCACCGTGGACGAGGCTGCGCTCCTTCCGAACGATGGACCCTCCCTTGCTGGTCCATTCTAAATTGGAAACAAACATTGAACAGGATTTATAAACAGCA